GGGGGGGGGGGGGGGAATGTTTTTTTTTTTTCTCGAGAAAATGATCGCTCCTGATAAAATCGGCCGCGGGTTTCTTCCTTTTCCGTAGCATCTTTTCAGTTTATTTGCAGCTGATGCAACAAATCTAAGTCAAAACAGTTGCGTTTCCCGAGAAAATCGCCATTCTCTCGGAGATTTCGCAGTGGTTTGAAGTCCTCAGAGAGCTCAGTTGCGTATTTTTATAACCGAATCCTTTCTTTTCACTTTCTGTTTCGATTTTCTGTCGTAAGATTTCTGAGCGGGCGAAGGAACCGTTTTTCTTTTTATAGAAATGATTCAAACCCACAAAAGATATTGTTTCTTTTGTTTTTGTCTCTCTCTCTCTCACTCTCTCCCCGAAATCTATCAGAAAATGTTTTCTCAATCTGGTGCGAGATGAGACAACCTGAGATGTCCTCTGGTGTTCTTATGGATTTCAGGATGTTGGAGAAGGTGGAGACATTGGACCTCACCAAAGTGATCGATGAATTCGAGGAGATGACAAGAAACGCTGAGGAGATTCAGAGGCAGACCCTAGTGGATATCCTGGAGAAGAACAAGTCCACTTTCTACTTGCAGAGATGCGGGCTCAACGGAAGTACGGACATTGATGATTTCAAAGCGATGGTTCCTCTGGTCACCGACCACGAGTTGGAGCCTTACATCAAAAGAATCGTGGAAGGTGACAAATCTCCCATTCTCACTGCTCAGCCCGTCCCCGCCATCTCGTTGAGGTACCTTTTCATGGAGCTTTGAATTGTTGCTGTCCCGTTCAATCTTAAAGGGAAAACAGAGAATGACTTCTCTGTCTGTTGTTTCTTACAGCTCCGGAACCAGTCAGGGTCGTCCAAAGTTCATCCCTTTCACCGATGAACTCATGGAGAACACGTTACAGCTTTTCCGAACTGCTTTTGCATTCAGAAACAGGTATATACGTATATACTTTCCTTACCGCATTCCTCGTATGGCCGCCCTTTCTTCCATGTCCGAATGACCTCTGTTCTTAGCGAGTATCATGGTTTGATGCAGGGATTTCCCCATTGGATATGGAAAGGCGCTGCAGTTCATCTTCAGCAGCAAGCAGTACATCTCGGAGGGCGGTGTCCCTGTCGGAACAGCCACCACGAATCTGTACCGAAACCCGAAGTTTAAAGCCGGGTTGCAATCAATCCGATCCATATGCTGCAGCCCTGACGAGGTTATATTCAGCCCAGACGTCCATCAGGCTCTCTACTGCCATCTCTTGTGCGGGATTCTCTGCCGCGACGAAGTCCAGTATGTATTCGCGGCCTTCGCTCACAGTCTCGTCCATGCTTTCAGAACCTTTGAACATGTCTGGGAAGACATCGTAGCCGACATAAGGGAAGGCGTCCTAAGCAGCCGGATCACTGTCCCGTCTGTCCGTGCGGCTATGTCTAAGCTGCTTAGACCCAATCCAGAACTGGCCGAGTTAATCCGCACCAAATGTATGAACCTGAGCAACTGGTATGGACTGATACCCGAGCTTTTCCCTAACGCGAAGTACCTCTACGGGATCATGACTGGTTCGATGGAGCCATACGTGAACAAGCTGAGACACTATGCTGGTGGTCTTCCGCTCATCAGTCACGACTATGGCAGTTCGGAAGGGTGGATTGGGGCTAACGTCACTCCAAGACTGCCCCCTGAGGAGGCTGTTTTTGCAGTTGTCCCGAATTTCGGCTACTTCGAGTTCATCCCCATTGCCGAGACAGAGGAGGCGCTGCCCAAGCCAGTGGGTTTGACCGAGGTCAAAGTCGGTGAAGAGTACGAAATCCTTTTCACCAACTATGCAGGTACGTACGTAAAAAAGAAACACCTCGATCCTTTCTCTTCTGCCATGTCTCCGCGGCTGAAAGTCACAGTTCGAATCTCTATCCTCCGCAGGAATGTACCGTTACAGGCTGGGGGACGTTGTCAAAGTCATGGGTTTCTACAACAAGACGCCGCAACTCAAGTTCATATGCAGGAAAAACCTAATACTGTCCATAAACATCGACAAGAACACGGAACGAGACTTGCAGGTCTCGGTCGAAGCAGCGGCCAAGAGACTGTCGGAGGAAAAGCTTGAAGTCCTGGACTTCTCGAGCCAGGTCGACGTATCGTCCGAGCCAGGACACTACGTCATATACTGGGAGATATCGGGCGTACCGGCCATGGACGCCCTGCAAGAATGCTGCAACATCCTGGATAGATCGTTCTTGGACGCGGGCTACGTCGGGTCGAGGAAAAGCCAGAACATAGGACCGCTCGAGCTCCGTATCGTCGGGAAAGGAACGTTCAAGAAGGTCCAGGAACATTATCTGGGGCTGGGGACTTCGGCCGGTCAGTTCAAGATGCCCAGATGCGTGAAACATATCAACATTAAGGTTCTTCAGATCCTGTCTGAAAATGTTGACTATAGGTTCTTCAGCACAGCCTTCGACTTCTAATTAACTGTCCATATACATATATATATATATATATATATGTATATATACGTCCTCGCAAGTTTAAACTCGTAGATCAGCTTCTTGTTATTGTTTCTGTTTCTCCTCTTATGCAGCTCCATATGCAGTAATGTATACAGTGTTTTTCCTTGTGTCCGTACAAGGTTATCAATTTGTGTCTCTGTGTTGTCGCCTATTCCCAATATTCAAAATACGGACAAAACATGGAAGTGGGTAAAATTTAATCAATGGTGAAGAGACAAGGTGTGATTAGGACATTGTTGGAGGGACCAATATTGGATTAGTGGTGGCATAGATGACGTCAAACAGTATTTTTGGTTCATTATTTTGCCTTTTTTTCACGCCAAATCTTTCCAATATTTCTCTATTTCATGATATATATGACCTTTTTATGTTTCTATATTTGCTGTGTCCCGTGAGATTATTTCTCTTTTTTTCTTAAAACAAAAAAAGAACTAAGAGAAATCTAACTGGACATCCAATTAAACAAATTTGGCAGTAGATATATAGTGTTTCATGTTTCGTTTTTTTTTTGGTGAATGTGTTTATAAAGATATTTTAAAATTAAATCATGTTTGAAATACTGTGATATGGTATCCTCCCTTCATTCCGAATAAAGGAAATGAACTAATCCGGAATATAAAAATCAGATTCTCATAAAAAAAAAATTCCATGAATTAAAAAAGTAGAATTCAAATGGGTTTGATTGAACATTGGATTTTTGAATAAAATTGTGAAATGAAATCCGATGGAGCAAAGTTATGTATTGTCTTAGACTCGGAAAAGGAAAAAAAAAACGAATATTTCTTCTTTGAGAAAAAAGGACAGCTTGGATTTTGATGAACAAACCATCAATTATAAGAATCTCAGAGCCCAAAAAAAAACATATAAATGATTTGATAACAAAAAAAAAATGGTGAAAACAAAAGGAGCCCATGAAAGCGGAGATGAGAGGAACGAGTTGTGGGATTGCGGAAGTCCCCTGTACGATTCGTACGAGCTCGTCTCTCTCTCTCATCTCATCGAACGCCATCTCAGCTCTCCCCCCTTCGATCTGACCTCCGCCGCTGATCCCTGCTGCTCCTCCGCTTCGACGACGCCGACCGGAAAGTTTGGCGGCGTTTTCCGGTGGAAACGGTGGAAGATCAAGTCAAAGATCAACAACAAAAACGACAAGAAGGCGGTGTTTTATCGTATTGTCTCTGCACTTCTCTCTACATGCTGCTCGTCGAAGGTTTGAGTTTTTTTTTTTTTTTTTTTTTTGGTGGGTGAGTGATGAAACTGAATTTGAATAAAGTGTGACACATTATTGCATACATACAAAGTTCGATACAGAATCATGCATATTGCATATACACAAGGGTCCACCATATTATCAGTATCTCTGCAATTTTCTTTGTATCAATGGATAATCTTTGGTATGTACGGCGATATGCATTTCATATCTTGAAAAAAAAAACGTATAAAATAACAATTTTCGATTTATTTGTTTATAGAATAAGATGAAGAAGAACAAAAGGAAAGAGGGTGGTTTTATTTCCCCTTTTTAATTTTCTGTTTATGCGATTTCCTCTTTAAGGCGTGACATTATACGTAGAACATGTGAATGTAACTGGCACTCGAAAGAGTTCGCATGTGTTCGCCGGAGTTTATTATATTGGCATGGATCCAATCTCGGTGTCGATATTTTGAATAATTGCAAATTTGTCATTTTTCTACTGAAATATTTTTATTTTGTCCCGGATTTTATTTTGATACGCATAAAAGGTCCAAAATTACGTCGATAGGGAAAAAACAAGAAGTAATAAATTATAAGGATTCAGTCAAAAATCGTGGGAAGGGTTCCGGACATTGTTGTCTCTTGAACTTGTCTTTAGTGTAGACTATAGTTGACTTGGTTATTATTATTGAATATAATAATTATCTGTCGTATTGTCGTTTTCATAATAATCATTCATCGTTGGACATGGAAATAGATTGTAACGCGTACTGGGCCAACAAGTTATCGGATTCTAATTGGGCCTTTAAGGCCCATATCTGATGAGTGTATCTATCGTCCAAAGTTCACGGAGATTTTAAATCTTCGTTGCATTTTTTTTTAAATTTCAACTTCGACCGTTACAACAATGAAAATCCATAAGAATAATATTTAGAATATACGCGATAAATCGGATGATATATACTACCCGTAACCTATGCAGCGTATGTCTTGGCATTCATATTTTGATTTTTGTAAACAAATAGACAAAGCTGGGTTCCCATTAACCGTAGTTATTTTAGTTCATATATATATATATATATATATAACAAAACTGGATGGAACCAGACAAAACTAACACATAATTAAATAGAATCCAATATAAAAGTTGATTGGATATAATTATTCATAAACCAAATTAATTGAATTTAATAAACTGAATATGAAAATAATAAAAAAACTTTTAAGGAAAACATTTTTTAAAACAAGTATTTAAAAAGAAACGAAATATCAATTCAAACCAAAAATTACAAAAAAAAAACCGAAAAAACTAAATAAAAATTTAAACAGAACCAGAAACAAAGATTCTAAATGTCGACATCCTCTACCTCTCCATCTCTCTCTCTCTGTTTACCATTTTGAACATCTTTTTCCATTTGAGAATGTAATAATTTGATGTAGGAAAGTGCATTATTGTCAAAGACAAGAAAACCCCCTTGATTTGTTTGGTAATTAAGATGGTGAAAGTGCATAATGAGGAATATATATATATATATATAGAGGGGGGGGGGGGG